GTTTTTGTCCTTGCAGTTCCCGCGGCTCATGACACCCTTCAGCCACAGACCCCAGCTCCACTGGCATTTCCTGGACCGCCCCAGCTAAGCTCTCCCTTTCCTACCCAGGCGCTCTCCGTGAGGGGTGTATGTGCCCTCACACAGCTGTTGTGAATGCGCCTGAGCACGTGTTTATTATCTCCACTCCCCATCAGACTGTGGGCTGCAGGGGGTCAGGGATTTGTCAGTCTTGATCCCCGAGCATCCCTGGTATCCAGCCTAGGCCTTGGCACACAGCAAGTGCCTAAGAAATGACTGCTGAGTGACAAAAAAAAAAAAAAAAAAGAAATAGAAAATTAACAGATCAATATGTAAACATGCACTAAAATTCACTGAACCAAGGTATCTTTGATTATTAGGGGACCTGATTTCAAATTATGCTAAAATGTGAAAAAACATGAGGCTTGGAACTGGTAACATATGATCATTCAGAAGTGGTGCAAAAGACAAGAGGGGAAATGATGGATGGGCTGGATGGGGGTTCAAGAGGAGCTCTCTGAGGAAGTGAGATTTGATCCAAGACCTCACGGGTGAAGAGGAGTCACGAGAGAGCAAAAGGAAGGGCGTTCTTTCTGGGCAGAGGGAACGGCTTGTGCAAAGGTCCTGAGGCAGGAACAGTCAGTGCTGCTGGTGGAAGGGAATGTATGTACAGGGCCCCATTTCTGTGCTCACACTTTCACTATCACAGATCAAGGTCTCGAGGCAGGAGGCCCGGGCTGGGAGCTCTAGGAGGGCAGGGCTCGGAGCCGTCACTTTCTCTCTGTGACGATGTCTGAGCCAGGACTGGGGACCTGGTCTGATTAGCAGGGATGAGCCACTCCCTGGGCTCCAGACATCGGATCCACAACTGCTGTGGGGGGCCACGTGGGGGCACGGACCTCATGTTGAAGAGGACCATTAATCGCACCATGTACTGCCTGCTGGTCTTTGGGGAGCCGTGCCAGGGTCCCCAAGACCACTGCTGGGATCAATGATTTCATAGAACTGCTGGCGTTCAGCATATGGCCATACACACGGCTACTATCTATCACAGCAAAAAGTTACAGAGGAAAGTCAGGAAAGGGAAAAGGCATGGGGGACAGGTTCAGGAAGATCAGGCAAACTTCCAGAGCCTTCTCCCAGTGGAGTCACACAGGACGTGCTCAATTCCCCCAGCAAGGAGTAGTCACCACAGGTGTGAAGAGTCTCCTGGAGAAGCTCACGGAGACCAGCACCCAGAGTTCTCAGTGGGGACTGGTCATGCAGGCACTCTGCCCAGCACGGACCAAGATCCCAGACTCCAGGAGGAGAGCAGGTGCTCAGCGTAACTGTTTGTGCAAACAGTGTAAGCCCAGGGAACCACTCTTATAAGGGACAGTGGAAACCATCCTGAAATTCAAGTTCCCAGATGCCAGCCAACGTCCCACCTTGTAACCTGGCCTCTCTAAGGACAGCAGCCTCAGACTTGCTGAATTCAAACTTCCTGCACAGGAGCCTGAAATGGTTTGGATTATGAAAAATAACTACATCAGATAATCAGAAAACAAAGCACTTTGTGTTTCTGAGCACCTACTGGGTGCCAGGCACCACATAGAACACTTTTTACGGCTTTCAAAGTCTCCGTGAGACAGAGAGTGAGACAGAGAGTGAGGCATCCTTTTCACAGAGGAAACTCAGTCACAGAGCATGAACTGCAGAGCCAGGATTCAGACCTGGGGACCTGACTCTGGGGGAGACAGGGTAGTACAGCAATTAGGAGCATGGGTCACAGAGCCAGGAGCCTGGGTCTGACTCTTCCACTCTCTAGCCATAGCATATCCTCTCTGGGCCTCCGTTTCCTCATCTGAATGGATATAACCCGTCCACTTGTGAGGGTATGATCAGCATGGCGCGCAAGTATCTGATGGTAAATTATAGAAATAGATGGCCCCCAGTTGCATGCTCAGGGACCCTGCGCTGGAATGTGAAAAGGCTGGGCTGGGGTCCTAACCTAGGTGTTTAAAAGATGAAGGCACTGAGTCACAGGAGAGAACATCAACTCGACTTCAAACCGAGGCTCCAGGCTGTCGATCCTGACATCTTGGACTTACTCGCAGGCCTGAGAGCTCATTGCCTTCAGGGAGCACACATTCTCCTGTGGGGTGAGGACAGGCACTCAGAATTCCAGAGCTCTCTCTTCCAAAGGCCGAATCCCGCCTTGCAAGACCCTCTCCACCCAGGAGTGCTGGTTAGTACTGGTTTTCCCCCAACAGACTTGGGAAGAGAAACTGAGGGGCCCCTGAAGACAAAGAGTTTATTTAGCAAAGCTTAACCCTTTCCAGGAACGCAATAGGCTAAGATCCAATGAGGGGCGGGGCTTATCAGAGTCCCGCCCCCGACGGTGAAAAAAGGTGAGGGAACAAGCTTTTAAAGAAGCCCCGCCCCCAAGGGAGGTGATTGGATAATTTCTTTCGGAAACCCAATAATGGGAAGTGATTGGACAAATATTCCAAGCTCCGCCCTTTCCCCACCCCCCTCCAGCCCCCCGCCTGTGATTGGGTAAACCCCGGGAAAAGTTTCGCGCAAGCCCACCTCTCGCGGAAGGTGATTGGAGGCCGTTAGACTAGAAAACAAGGTTCCAATGAGAGAGGGTCACCTCGGCCGGAGTTCCGATATATCATATGCCGCCCTGGGTATAAAGCCCTAGACATCCAACATCTAAAACTTTTCGCTCCGATATCTTTGTCCCCCACTCCTCTCACACGTACCAGGAATCAGCTAGGGCTGCTGTTTACTGGACTTCCCCGCCGTCCCTTGCACTTCCGACACCGTCGTTGCTCCAGCCTCCAGCATTGGCTGCAGCTACACAGCCTGCTTTTGTCATTGGCTGGGACTCCCGCCTGTTAACATCGTAACCCGGCCGTTTTCCCTCCCGGGTTGCAACTGTGATAGCTCCCAACCAAGGTTCTGGGGCATCTGGATGTGGCGTTCCCAGGAGATGCCGAGTCCTAGAGGTCAGCAGCGGCTTGTGAAAATTTATTCGCGACACTGCCTGTTGTTCATTCTTTTATTCAGCAAAAATAAAAGTCAGTGTTGGGCGTTAAACCTGTGTGCTGGCCTCTGGGAACCACACATCGTCCCTGTGTCCTCAGGGTTCACGTGGGGGCTGTGGTCTGTTTCCACATGCCACACAGGTTGTGGGCAAAAGAGTGCCCTGGACGGCACACCCCGTTTATCCTGAGCCACAGGATAAACCCACCTTCCCCCTACACACACACTATACCAAATGTACCCCATAACCAAATGTCCTTTTTTAAAATTCTTCTTTTTAAATTTGCACACAAGGATATTTTCCCATTGATTTTGAGAGAGAGAGGAACAGACAGAAAGAAATATCAATGCTCATCAGTTGGTTGCCTCCTGCACTTGCGGACCAGGGCCCCAGCTGGGGAGGAGCCTGCATCCTAGGCACATGCCCTGAACCCCGACCGGAATGAACCTGGGACGTTCGGTCCGCAGACCAACGCTACCCACTAAGCCAAACTGGCGAGGGCTCAAATGTCCTTTTAAAGAGGAAATCCCACTCAATTCTTTCTCCAGTCTCCCTCCTTCCTTTTTATTTATTTTTGTTTGTTTATCCTCATCCGAGGATATTTCCCGCTGATTTTGGAGAGTAGAAAGGAGAGAGGGAGGAAGAGAAATATAAATTGAGACACAAATATTAGTTGGTTGCCTCTCGCAGGCGCCCCCACGGGCTGGGGATGGAAACAGCCACCCAGGTACCTGCCCTTGATCGGGAATGGAACCCCCACCCTTCTCTGTGTGTGAGGGTGCGCTAACCACTGAGATCACCAGCCAGGCCTCCCTTCCTTCGATAAATGTTTGTACTATTTAACTTTTTTTTGTTAATCCTCACCTAAGGATCTTTTCCCATTGATGTTTAGAGAGAGTGGAAAGAAGGGGGAGAGACAGAGAGAGGGAAACATAGATGTGAGAGACACACAGATTCGTTTCCTTCCACAGAGGCCACAGATTGACCCTGCAACTGAGGTACATGGCCTTGTTCAGAGTCCAACCTTGGACCCACAGTCTACGGGCTGACACTCTAGCTGCTGCGCCAAACCGACTAGGGCTAGATGTTTGGTCAGATACGTGCTCCCCCTCTAGGGACACATCAGAGAACACGACAGAAGATGCCTGTCCTCCAGGGGTCGCTGTGGGACAGATGGACAATAAATACACAAAAGGACCTTTCCTGGCTTGGTAAATGGTCTGAAGACAGAACAGGCTAACCATGGAGAGTGGTGTATGAGTTTCCTACGGCTGTTGTAATAACAGAATACCGCAAGCTCCGTATCTTACCACACAGCTAGTATCTTAGAGCCCTGGAGGTCAGAAGTCTGGTATGGATGGCAGTCATGGATCCTTCTGGAGGCTCCAGGGGAGAATCCATCTTCTTGACTCTTCCAGCTTCTAGAGTTCCTGCAATACTTGGCTTATGGCCCCATATCACTCTGACTTCTGTTTCTACTGTCACATCACTGTCTATCTCTCCCTCTACTCTCCTGCCTCCCTCTTTAAAAGTTTTTAAAATATGTTTTTTTATTGATTTTAGAGAGATAAAGGGATATAAAGAGAGAGAAATGATGAGCTGCCTCCTGCATGCCCCCTACTAGGGAGCAAACCTGAAACGGGCATGTACCCAGGCTGGGAATCAAACCAGTGACCTTTTGGTGAATGGCGATGCTCAACCAACTGAGCCACACCAGCCAGGGCTCCTGCCTGATCCTGGTTATTTTCTTGGGGCCCCAGGATAATAACTCCTTGATGTTCATTAACTTAGTGAAAGATCGTTAAACTTTAAATAAGGAGTCTCCTCATGATTCTTAATTTAATCATACCTGCAAAGCCCCTGTTGGCATGTGAGGTACCATATTCACAGATTCTGGGGGTTAAGATGTATTATCTGTGTGTGTGTGTGTGTGTGTGTGTGTGTGTGTGTGTGAGTTGGGGGGAAGGTATTATTCTGCCTACCACAGATGATGTGGTCAGGGAAGGCTTCTTGGAGGAGGTGACCTCTGAGATGAGCCCTAAGTGAGATCCACAAACAAACCCATGGATTGAGAAAATACTTCCAGGCCTGGCTGCTTTGTCCCCTCCTCAGAGAAATCTTCCCAAACAAACTGACGTCCCCTTTGTGTCCACTCACACTGGGGCTCACATCTTTTGAGACGATGGGTGAATCAAACCACTGAACTGCATAGCTCCCACCATCCCATCCCAGGCAGAACCCCTCCACTCCTCCCCCAGCTGCTCACGCTCCTCTCTTCCTCTCGTCCAGCCCTGACCCTCTCCACAGAGTGGCGACTCACTGTATGTGTGTCCTGCTCTGTTCCGTCCTCTCTAACTCCTCTCTGGGTCTGCTGGACAAAGGGAGGCAGAGTCTATGCTAGTAACAATGTCTCATTAAACAATAAATGATATGTCACATTCACAGTTTTGCAGTCAGAGGAGAGAGTACACCCCCATTTCACAGATTAGGAGATTCAGTGCCAGAGAGGCAAAGTCACTTGTCCGAGGTGCCCAGCAACTGGGCAGCAGCGACCCCAGGCCAGTCAGGTTCCACCCGCCTTGGAGTAGGTAGCAGTGAGGGGGAGGGGCCTGGAAAGCCCCTGCTACTGGCCCAGAGCCGCTGAGGCAGTGGCAGGGAGGCTCCAGTTGCTGGGCTGCCCATAGTCGGTGAGGTCCTGGGCAGCCACCTGGATGCAGTACCGGGCGTGGGGCCGCACAGCCCTGAGGGTGAAGGACGTGGCTTCGATGGGCCCCACCTGAGAGAGAAAGACGGTGGTCAGTGGGTGGCCAGGCTGGGAAGGCCATTGTCCAGCGGTCTGTGTGCCTGAGCCTCAGTCCTCAGGGCTCCATCCTAAACCATTTGCCCTCACAGCGCCCCCCCCCCCCCCGCCAGTCTTTGGCTTGTGTGGTCCTGACCTGTGTGGGCTTCCTGCTGGTCCCAGAGCCAACTCGTTCAGGAGTCCTTCCTGGACCGCACCAAGGGATGGCCCAGTTTCGAGGGACGTCTCAGTGGTGAGATCCCTCACTCCCAGACCTCTCCCTTTCCCCCCCCACCTCCTCCTGGCTCTAAACCAGAGCTTCGACCATTGGCTTCAATGCCTTCCTCCCCAACCCCCAGTCCAGGGGTCCTCAAACTTTTTAAAGTGGGGGCCAGATCACGGTCCCTCAGAGAGCTGGAGGGCCGGACTATATGAACTACTAATTCCTACTGTAACACCTCGGCTGCGCTCACTGCCCAAAAAACCTGGCGGGCCGGATCAGACTCCTCTGCGGGCCGCATGTGGCCCGCGGGCCGTAGTTTGAAGACCCCTGCCCCAGTCCCACTGTATTGACCATGTTTTTTTTTTTTTTTTTTTTTTTTTTTTAATTTCTTTGTATCTTAGGATATTTTGGCATCTTAACATCTTGCTGGCCGGGAGCAGACTGCCCTTCTTGGGGTCAGCCAGTTGTTAGAGACGGCAAAGGAGCATCCCTTTCACATACAAACTAAACAATCAGAGTCTAAACCCCCACCCGCCCTTTTCTCTCATTTCCCCCCACAGGCCAGTATCCTCCTGCCCTACGTCACCCAGTGCCAGGTGCCGGCACCTGAGATCACCCATGCGGCCCAGAGCCCACAGGATTACCCACCTCGCCGGCCCCCAGCATTCACCCCACCCTGTCTCCTTTCCCGGGGAACCCCAGCAGGGCGCTGCCTTGGCTCACCACTCCCTCCTGCTCCAGCCTCCTGCCCCAGCTCCCTGCTCCACCCCCCTGCTCCCACCCCCTGCTCCACCCCCCTGCCCCAGCCCCCTGTTCCCGCCCCCTGTTCCCGCCCCCTGCCCCACCCCCTGCCCCAGCCCCCTGCTCCACCTCCCTGCTCCAGCCTCCTGCATCCTGATGTTGCCTGTAAAACGGCCCTGCGTGGCGCGGCACGTCCCCTTCTCTCAGGAAATGTAATCAGTTCTTCTCTCAATGGCCTTGGCCTCTCCTGTCCCCACGCAGGATTGAAGTCCCATGGGTACGAATGAGACACCCACTCAGGTCCGCCTTTCCTGCTTTCTCTCCTGTCCATCTTTTCTCTCCTGTCCCTGCTGCTCCACACTCTCCCTCCCTGACCTGACCCTCACCTCCTCCCATCTCACTCAATCCTCGGGAAGGTCCCGTTCCAGCCCCCACGCTCAGCTGCCCAGCCCCAGGTCTGCCTAGCTCCCTGCCCTGCCCTACCTGGGTTTCCCATAGCGGAGGCCATATGGTGCTGCAAGTCTTACATTTAGGTTGATGGTGGCACAACTTTATGAGCACACTCAAGGCCACTGGCTTAAGCACTTTAAAACAGTGAGTTTTCTGCCATGTGAGTTCGAGCTCAATTTTGAAACTGCAAAGACTTAAAAAATTTAAAAGCCAGTTCCTGGGCTACTTGCCACATTGGAATGGCTCAGCAGCCACCCATAGTTCATGGCACTGTCCTGAGAGCAGATGGAGAAGAATCCCCATCACCGGAGACTCCCACATCCACGGGGCTCGCTCCTCAGCCCAGGACACGGCCCTGCCCAGGACACACCGACCTGCGGATGCTCACAGGACACTGCCTTTAGTTTTTATTTTTTAAGAAGTTAAGACAACCCTAGCCAGTTTTGCTCAGTGGATAGAGCATCGGCCTGTGGACTGAAAGGTCCCAAGTTGGATTCCGGTCAAGGGCACATACCTTGGTTGCGGGCACATCCCCAGTGGGGGGTGTGCAAGAGGCAGCTGATTGATGTTTCTAACTCTCTATCCGTTTCCCTTCCTCTCTATGTAAAAATTCAATAAAATATATAAAGAAGAAGAAGAAGAAGAAGAAGAAGAAGAAGAAGAAGAAGAAGAAGGAGGAGGAGGAGGAGGAGGAGGAGAAGGAGGAGGAGGAGGAGGAGGAGGAGGAGGAGGAGGAGGAGGAGAAGGAGTTGAAGAAGTTGTTGTTAAAACAGCCCTGGTTGGTTGGAGAGTCATCCCATACACCAAAAGGTTGTGGGTCCCATTTCTGGTTAGGGCACATACCTAGGTTTCAGGCCATGTATGGGAGGCAACAGATCAGTGTTTCTCTCTCCCTCTCCCTTGCTCACTCTCTCTAAAATCAATTAAAAATTTTTTTTTAAAGTTAAAATAATATATGTTGTTTTCAATCAAGATGAAATTTACATAGCATAAAATTAACCATTCTAAAGTGGACAATTTACTATCCTTTAGTACATTCACAATGTTGTGCAACCAACACCTCTAATTCTAGAAAATTCCACCCCCCCAAAAAAAAAAACACACACACACCTGTTTTCATCAGCAGTCACTCCCCATCCTCCTCCTCAGCCCCTGACAACCATGAATCTACTTTCCATTCCTGGCTGTGCCTGCTCTGGACATTTCACATCAGTGGACATACACACCTTTTGTGCCTGGCTTCTCTCACTGAGCAGCATATTTCCAAGGGTCATCCACACTGTAGTGAGTGTCGGTGCTTTCCTGGCTGAGTCATACTCAGTGTGTGGGTGGGCCTACTTTGTGAACCCATTCACCCACTGATGGACATGGAGCTGTTTCCGCCTTTCGGTTATTGTGAATAGCGCTACTATGAAGGTTCTGTCTGAGTTCCTGATTTCAAGTCCTTTGGGCAGATATGCGGGAGCAGGAGTGGAGCTGGAGGCTGCCTTTATTTGATGGCCACAAGCAATCTCAAGCTACAGGGGAGGCCTCGGTGCACTTACACGTGCTGTTCTACCGGGAATCATCCTCCCCAGCTGCCTCTCATCCTCCTCACCTGGCGGAAGTGGGCAGCTCCATGACGCTTGTAGCGAATCCAGTACTTGAGTGAGAAGATCTCCGGGAAGGGCCAGGACCTGGGAGGTTCCCACTGCACCCACAGCCCCTGCCCGCGGAGGTGTCTCAGGTGCACGCCTTCTGGAGGGTCTGGTTTGACTGACAGACAAGCAGGAGACAGGGTCAGCAGGGGGCAGTTTCATGCATGCAAACAACCAACAAATACGGACTGAGGGTCTCCTGACTGTCCAGTGATGTTCTGGACACTGGGGACACAGCCGTGATCAGTACAGACACAACCCTTTTGGAGCTCAATCCACAGGACAGAAGGCAAGAGACAGAAGGAAATCTACTGATCATAAAGAGTAGGGAAAAGTTTGCACGGTGGCAGTACCGTAGCCAATGAGGTTTATCCGGGGCGTGATTATTACTAATTGGAAAAAAAAAAAAAAAAAAGGAGTAGGGGAGAAAGTTCAGGAGTGCAAGGAAGAAAGTGGCTTGCAACTTTTTTTTTTTTTTAATATATTTTATTGATTTTCCACAGAGAGGAAGGGGGAAAGATAGAGAGCTAGAAACATCGATGAGAGAAAAACATGGATCAGCTGCCTCCTACACACGCCCTACTGGGGATGTGCCCGCAACCAAGGTACATGCCCTTGATCAGAATCGAACCCGAGACCTTTCAGTCCCCAGGCTGACGCTCTATCCACTGAGCCAAACCCAGTTTCGGCAGGATGCAACTTTTTGAGACATAATTCGCATACCACAAAACTCACCCTTTCAAAGTGTACGGTTCAGTAGGTTTCAGTACATTCAGGATGTTGTAGGAACACCACTATTTAATCAGAACATTTTCATCACCCCCAAAAGAAATCCACATCCATTAGCAGCCATCCCTCCACCCCCATTAATGCTAGGGAGGAGCTGGGGCAGGTCATACAGGGCCCTGTGGGTCATAAGAGGACTTGGCATTTACCCCAAGGAAGGCGGGAGCTAGAGAGCTGTAGGCAGAGGGGCGAGACCTGACTAGGGTGCTCACAGCGCCCTCTGGTGGCTGATTCAGGGATGGCGCCCTCTGGTGGCTGCTGAAGGAAGAGGGTGGGAACCAGAAACTAGGGTGAGAGGACTGTGGTTCAGGTGGGCGGCAAAGAAGCCAGATCAGGCCCTAGCCAGTTTGGCCCAATGGATAAAGCATCGGCCTGTGGACTGAAGGATCCCAGGTTCGATTCTGATCAAGGACACATGCCCAGGTTTTGGGCTCGATCCCCAGAAGAGGGATTTAGAGGCAGCTGATCAATGATTCTCTCTTTGATGTTTTTCTCTCTCCCTCTCCCTTCCTCTCTGAAATCTATTTTTTTTTTTAAAGGAAAGAAACGGGCTCAGGGAGGCTCAGGAGGAGAGAGAAGTGGGCGGATCTTGATTAACTGTGAAGTGGAGGCAGGACTGTGTGAGGCAGAAGGTGGGGTACCTAGAGAGGCGGAAGAGCACAAATAAGCCAGTGACCCTCCTCGCCCCCCAGCCACGGCCCCCACTCACTGATGTGCTCTGGGATGAAGGTCACGAAGCTGCTGCTGCTGCTGCCTGAGGGGTGGACAGCTGTGATGTTCAGCATGTAGGGTACCATGGAGAACATGTGGACGTCTGGGATGGTGCAGCTGCTGGCTTCTGGTGTTGGCTGGAGGCAGGGCTGGCTCTCCCCGTGGGCGGCCACTCCAAGCCTGGTCACAGAGTGGGCACTGAGGGCCTCAGACTTCCTGCTGGCCCTGCCTGTGCCCAGACCCCAAGTAGGGACAGAAGGTGCGGAGCCCTGGTTCGGGGTCCTGCTCTTGTCTCTGTGACCCTGGGGGAGACACTCACTTGACATCAAGGATCCCACACATACTCAGGGTTTGGGGTGAAAACCACCCTAGATGCTCGGGTCCCAGATTCAACAGTCCAGCCTTAGAATTCCAACATTCTGAGGTCTACAGAGTCACGGACTCTGGAACCTGAAACGGTGAGATTCTGAGACGCCAGGATTTCAGGCTTCAGAGACTGGAGCTGAGTGCCATCCATAGAACTTTCTACAACACTCACAATGCCCTGTTGCTACCTTGTCCCATGCAGCAGTCACTAGCTGCCTGTGGGGTCAAGTGCTTGAAACACAGCTGACACGACTGAGTGGGACTTTTAAGTTTGGTGTACTTTATGTCATGTTTCCAGTTATCAGAAAACTTGGGGAAGTTGTTTGGAACAAGCTGGGTGCATGAATTTATAGCTTCAACTGCAAATTTTATGAAATCCAATCAGAGAGCAAGAATTTCTAATGAAAGTTTAGTATCTGAACTGAAACGCACCATATTCATAAAATACATGTGGAATTCTGAAGACTTTGTATAAAAAATGTAAAATATTAATTTTTAAAGTAATGATAACAATATTTTAGTTATTTCTATATTAACTTCTATTCTAAATTTGAATGTATCAATATATATTGTGTATAAGTATGTCCAATTACAGTATGCTCAATCATTAAATGAGACGTATTTGGAAATATAGATATTATTTACATAAAATATTAAAATTAATTTCACCCATTTCCTCTCACTTTTTAAATGTGGCTTCTAGAACATTTTAAACAACACCCCTGGCGTGAACTATGATTGCAGGAGGCACAGCTGTGCAGGCCGCGCTGCCCCAGCGTGCAGGGTTCCAGGCCAGCGCTGCCTGCAGGCCTGGCTGTGGCGCTCTGACCTGTACGTGGCAATGACGGACGCGGGCCTGGCGGAGTCTGCAGCAGGCGGCAGGGTCCAGAAGCAATCTACGGCAATCGGGTACCTAAAGGCCCGGCACCACACCCTGGACTGGGTGGGGGCTGCAGGGGTGAGGGAGGAGGGAGGAGCGTGAGCTTTCAAACCTCCCCACACGTACCCAGGGTTTGGGGTGAAAGCCACCCTAGAGGCGCAGGTCCCAGATTCTATAGGTTTCTGGAATGTCAACATTCCAGCCTTAGAATTCCCACAGTCTGAGAGGTCTACAGTCACAGACTGGAACCTGAAACAGTAAGATTCTGATTCTCTCCAGCTCTGAGACGCCAGGGTTGTGCAGCACACACACACACACACACACCCTCCCCAACACCCCCACCCCGTTCATCCCGCCTCCCTGGAGCGCTAACAGGCTGGTGGGATGAGTCCATGAATGAAAGACACTCAAGTCATCTCTCGCCCCTACAACCTGCAAAGGCAGGACTGTTGGCTCATTTTCCAGGGTTAACAAGCCACAGAGGAGCCCTCGGGAGTGGAGAATCCTGATGGGAGGGAGATATTTTGCTGTGTCCCCTCTTTGTTACAGATTTTTGGTTTTGTTAATCTTCACCAGAGGAGATATATATATATATATATATATATATATATATATATATATTTATTTATTTATTTATTTTTTTATTTTTTTTTTAGAGAGAGAGTGGAAGGGAGGGAGAGAGACAGAGAGAGAAGCACCGATGTGAGAGAGACACATCAATTGGCTGCCTCCCCAATGTGTCCCAACTAGGGCCAGGGATTGAGCTTGCAACCGAGGTACGTGCCCCTTGACTGGAATCCAACCTGGGACCTTCAGCCCGAAGGCCGATGCTCTACCCACTGAGATAAACTGGCCAGGCTACAGTTTTGTTTTGAAGCACATGAAATGAATGCATGCAGTTAACCCCCACCCTTTCTCCTTCTCCCCCCCCCCCCCCCCCCCGCCTCCATCCCTCCTCCCTCCTGGCTGTGGCTGCCAGGACCTGGTGTCACTTTGGAGTAGGATTCATCTCCATGCCTCACTTTCCCATCTGTGGAATGTGATGGTAATCCCCTCCCACCCCACTCCAGAATGTTCCACAGCGAAGTCCAGTCCACAGACTGGCCCTGGTCCCCCAACCCCCGGGGGCCCTACATACCTTCACTCCCACTACAGGGCGAGCAGCCAGCCCAGAGGACAAGGGCCAGGAGAAGTCGCGGGGCCATGACTCCCGGGCTCCTTGCAGAAGCTGGGGCACGGGGCACCTTGGGGAGCAGGCGCTCAGACCCTGCCAAGGCCCCCTCCCTTTCTCTGGGTTGGACGCACAGGCAGGTTTGTGGGGCTGTGAGGAGTCAAGCAGGGGCAGCAGATCCGCCGGTCCCTGTACTGGCCACCCTGGGACGAGGGTGCGGAAGGCTCTGAGGGTGGGGGCAGGGGAAGAGGCCACAAAAGGGAGAAGTGGAGACCCCGTGGCCTTTCCCAGCACAGTCAGTCCTTCCTTCCGGCTGCAGTGAGGAGGGGCTGGGGAAACCCCAGAGGGGAGTTCGCATGGAGAAAGGCCGAGACAGGGGCAGGAGGGAGACTCAGAGGAGAGAAGAGAGGGGGTGGAGACTGAGAGGAGAGAGGGGGTAGGAGACTGAGAGGAGAGGAGAGGAGAGGAGAGGAGAGGAGAGGAGAGGAAAGGAGAGGAGAGGAGAGGAGAGGAGAGGAGAGGAGAGGAGAGGAGAGGGGAAGGGAGGGGAGGGGAGGGGAGGGGAGGGGAGACTTAGAGGAGGAGAAGAGAGGAGAGGGGAGGGGAGGGGAGGGGAGGGGAAGGGAAGGGAGAGAGGGGAGGGGAGACTCAGAGGAGAGGAGAGAGGGGGTGGGAGACTCAGAGGAGAGAGGGGGTAGGAGACTGAGAGGAGAGGAGAGGAGAGGAGAGGAGAGGAGAGGGGAGGGGAGGAGAGGAGAGGAGAGGAGAGGAGAGGGAAGGGGAGGAGAGGAGAGGGGAGAGACAGAGATGGAGTTAGACACACACAGTTAAGAGAGGAGACAGAGAAATAGAGACAGGGAGAGAGAAAGGAGCTAGACAGAGACAAGAGAGACAGAGATGGAGATAGGGAGAGATAAAAGAGATAGAGGAAGAGAGAAGGGTCAGGAGACGGAGAGATTGACACACAAAGGTCTCGGAAAAAAGAAGGCAGGGACAGGAGAGACCCAGCATCTCCACAGGAGATGCCCTTTCACGCATGGCCCACAGGGACTGCGTCCCCACCCTCACCGGCCACTCCACCCCCAGGCCAGAGAGAGACAGGCCTGGGCAGCCCCTCCCCACGGACATTCTCCTGGCCGCTGAAGCCTTGGACACGGTGCTCCCCGGGGAGCGAGGAAACCCCCGGGGGCAGGCTGGACATGGGGGTTCACAGTCTTAGTCACCTGCTCCCTGAGCTGGAAAGGGCCGAGAACCACCGGGGGATTTCAGGGAAGTTGCCGGAGGGGGGGGGCGGGGGGGGCTCCCTCCCAGGGGCTGGGCAAAGGGTAAGGAAAGTGAGGTCAGTGCAGGCGTGGCCTCTGTCTTCCCTCGGAGATTCTGTTCATGTGAACTTTTTGGCATCCATTCCATTTTGACTTTTTGAAATTTTGCAGTAACACAGTGTTCGTCACGGGGACTGAGGTTGGGGTGCGGGAGGGGGTGCCTCCCACTCCCCACCCTAACCCGGGCCACCCTCTCCCCTGCCCGAAGTGGGAGCCCAGCAATCAGGCCGCACGCCGCCCTGGGCTCCGTGAGCTTTATTCCGGGGGTGGAGTCTGGCGAAGACAGGGCGTGAGCGAGGGAACTCGCAGAGTCTCCGATGGCAGGTGCAGGGGCAGGGGCAGGGCCTGAGACGTGGACACCAGGGACAGCCGGGCCGGGGCCGGCTCATCTCCGAGCCCGGAAGGTCAGTGTGAGCCCCACCGCGCCCCGGGCAGGCCCGAGCAAGCAGGGCCCGCGTCCCGAGGCTTAGCGTCCCTGAGCCTGGAGTCTCTGCATCTGCAGGATCTGGCTCAGAATCCGCTGCACATCTTCGTCCATCTGGCCCTGGGGTGGGGGGGACAGAGGAGAGCCTGGGCGCCCTGCCACTGAGGGCCGGCGGGCAGCCGGGGGCGGCCACAGCCCGGCGGACTCACCTGGATGGCGTGCAGGAGGTGGCTGCGGTACAGGGCCACCACCGCGCTGTGCTCCCGGGCAGCTTCCTGCGGGCGGGCGGAGGGGCGCTCAGAAAAGCAGGACAGCCCCGAGGTGCCAAGTGCCCCCTTCGTACCCTGAGCCCCCGTGGTGATGGCATGGCCCAGTAAGACAGTGCCAGTTGACAAAATATTGCAACATTTCCTCCCAGGCCTGGCACATGTGCCCCGGCTCCTGCGTGCCCCCAGCCCTCTCCCGGGTGTCTGTGTGCCCGGTGGGCTCTCACCTCCAGCTGCCCCTGCAGGGCCTCCACCTGGCCGCGCAGGGCCTCCACCTGGGAGCTGCCGGGCACTGCTGGCTGGTCCTTCAGCGCCTCCTTCAGACTGAAGACCTCCTTGGAGAGCTCTGTGATCTGGGGTGGGGTGGGGTGGGAGGGGTCAGGGGTCACCCTGGTGACCCTGAGCTCAGGGCTGGGGGCAGCAGGGGTAAGAGAGGTGGGACAGGCTTGCGAGGGAAGGCCACATCCTAGAGGCTAGCAAACTCTGGCCCTCAGGCTAAGAATGGTTTCCAGAGTTTTAAATGCCCGGGGGATTAGAAGTCAAAAAGAGAATGTGACGCGTGAAAATTAGATAAAATTCACACTCCCGTGTTCATACACAAATTTGTGTGGATGCACAGCCACGCCCTTTCGTATGAGGTCGCCTCTGGCTTCTTCTGCAATGGCAGACCTGAGCCAGAAACACTGCCCACCGGGTCCTTTACAGTGAACGTCTGTGGCTCCTGTCACATCCCCTGTGGGAGTCTGGGAAGGAAGCTGGTGGGACAGGGGCGGGAAGCGGTGTGGCTGTCAGGCAGCCCTGGGCTGGGCCCCTCTCTGTCCCTTTCTCAAAGGAGATCTTGGGAAGATGACTCAACCCCTCTGAGCCCAGTTTCCCCCGCTGTACAGAGAACCATGGTTCCCACCAGCTAACTGATTCTGAACAGTGACTAAGTGTGAACTGCTGAGCAAAGAGCAGGCACTCGATAATGCCAAACTCCATTATTATTCCTGCGGAGAAGAGGCTCTCATCAGAGGCCATGCTGCCCCCAGAGGACACCGAGGGCCTCTCCTGCAATGGAAATGTCCGCAGAGCTCCTGGCATCAAGTGGGTGAGGCCAGGGATGCTGCTCAACAGCCCACAGTGCCCAAGACACGCCCCACAGAGAGTGACCTGCCCTGCATGCCACGAGCATGACTTGCACTTTCATGCTGAGAAAGAGAAACTCTGATACAAACAAAGCATAATCTCTACCACAACTTTATCTTCATTTTACAGATGTGAAAACGGGCTCAGAGAGGTCAAGGGACTTATCCAAGGTCACACAGCAAGACGTATCTGGATGACTCTTTGCACTAAAGCCCTTGGGCTCTGAGGGTCACATTCACTATCCAGTGACATGCTGTGTCACTTTGAGCCATTCGCTTTGCCTCTCAGAGCCTCAGTTTGCTCAGCTGGAAGATGAAGGTAAAAATGCTTTCTGGCTCTTAGTTGTGAGATTAAAAGTGACATGTGAAAATCATCTGAGTAACAGCCAGAGGTCTCAGATATCGTTATTCTTACTATTTAAGAGAAGAACTTGGGAACTTGGGTTTGAGCCTGGAAGAACCATTGCATAGATGTGTGACCCTGGGCAAGTGGCTTCATCTCTGTGCCTCAGCTTCCTCAAATGGGATAATAAAAAGAGCAATCTTACTGGAACTTAATGTGAGGATTAAACGCATTGATCCAGCCCTGGCTGGTTTGGCTAAGTGGATAGAGTGTTGGCCTATGGACTGAGGGGTCCCGGGTTCGATTCCGGCCAAGGGCACATGCCTGGGTTGTGGGCTTGATCCCCCAGTAGGGGGTGTGCAGGAGGCAGCCAATCAATGATTCTCTCTCATCATTGATGTTTCTATCTCTCCCTCTTCCTTCCTCTCTGAAATTAATAAAATATTTTTAAAACTAATAAATAAATGCATTGATCCATATTGAATGCACAGCACAGGCCCCGACATGCAATAAGCACCCAATAAAGGTTACTGTTGGGGTCTATTAATAATTAATGTCATTTTAAAACATTCGTTTAAAATCTTGCTTGGCGTTGACTTGTATTGACATAACCTTCAAACACGTGGTATCTACAGAACGTGTGAAGTGCAATTAACAAGTTTTGCTTGAAAAAGTTTGTGTTTGGTTTGTTTTTTGTTGCAAAACTAGGGCTAAGAAGATGACGGATGAAGAGCATATTCGGCACTGCATGCTTTACGAGTTCCAATTAGGAAGAAAAGCAAGTGAGGCTGCAAAAAACATCTGTAGTGCTCTTGGTCAAGATGCAGTTAGTGCCAGAAGATGCCAGCGTTGGTTTGAGAAATTTCGCGAGGGAAATTTTTTGTTAGATGACAAGAGCGGTTGAGGCCGTGTGTCCAATTTTGATCAAGAAGCTCTTCAAGCTCTTTTGGTGCAAAATCCTCAAATTACCCAACAAGAGCTTGCGACAACTTTAAATTGTTCACAAAAAACAATTTCCAATCAATTGCGTGCACTTGGCAAAGTCCAAAAGTTTGGAAAATGGGTTCCTCATGAGTTGACCGACAACAACCGTAATCAAAGAGTCACAATTTGCAGTTTGCTCCTCTCTCGTCAAAACCGTTTGCCGTTTTTAGAGCAAATTGTTACCGGAGATGAAGAATGGGTGCTGTATGTTAATTTGAAAAGGCGGCCTCAATGGTTGGACAAAAATGAGGCTCCGCAGCCCACGCCAAAACCTGACTTGCATGCGAAAAAAGTGATGTTGTGTGTTTGGTGGAATTTTAAAGGAATTCTTCATTATGAACTTTTACCATCTAACCAAACCATTACAAGTGCAGTGTATAGTGCCCAATTGGAAAGGTTAGCCCAAGCTTTAAGAGAAAAAGAACCCGCGCTGATTAATCGGAAGGGCGTAATTCTTCACCACGATAACTCACGACCGCATACTGCAAGAATCACTGCTGAAAAACTGCGCCAGTTGGAATGGGAAGTTCTCCCTCAACCTGCATATTCTCCTGATATTGCCCCTTCCGATTACCATTTGTTTCGTTCTTTGCAAAACTTTCTTCTTGGAAAAAAATTTAATTAATGAAGAATGCCTCAAAAATGCATTGACCGAATTTTTCGCATCAAAATCACAAGAATTTTACAACAGAGGGATTAAAATGCTTCCTGAGCGTTGGGCACAAGTAGTAGAAAACAACGGCAACTATATTGTTGATTAAATTTTGTTGTATTGTTTAAATAAATTCGATTTAAAAAAGTATTAGAAAACGACATTAATTGTTACTAGACCTAATAGTAATTAGTAATTGGAACAGTAGCCTATGTGTCTGAGTTGTCCCCTTCCTTCTCTGTCTCAGCCTCCTTTCTGGAAAATGGGCTCATTTCCTAGAACCCTTTCAGCTGTGACATTCTTTTTTTATTTTTTATTTTTATTTTTTATTGATTTTTTTACAGAGAGGAAGGGAGAGAGAGAGAGAGCTAGAAACGTCGATGAGAGAGAAACATCAACCAGTTGCCTCTTGCACACCCCCTTCCGGGGATGTGTCTGCAACCAAGGTACATGCCCTTGACCGGAATCGAACCTGGGACCTTTCAGTCCACAGACCGACGCTCTACCACTGAGCCAAACCGGTTTCGGCTCAGCTGGGACATTCTTAGATTCCCCCAATCTCTGTGAAGTGGGGACCTTCAACTGAGTATAGGAACAGGAGACCCACCTTCTTGTCCTTCTCTTTGGCCCTATCCAGGGCCTCCTGGGCGCGGCTCTGGGCCTGGCGTGCCTTCTCAGCCTCCGTGCGCAGCCCACGCAGCTGCTGCTCTGCCGTGGCCAGCTGGGCCTCCGCTGCGTGTCGCTCACTCTTCATGAATAGGGCCTCACGCTGCACCTGTGGCCCAAGCCCACGTGTGACCCTGAGGACACTTGGACCACAAAGATCCTGAACCCCAGACTTCCTCTGACCCTCTATCTTGTCCTGAGGACATTCAAGCCCATTTTGAGCTTGAGGAGTTTGATTCAGGGAAGTTCCGAATTCCACAGGGCATTATAAACATCCTGACCCTGCCAAAGACCTCTGGCCTGCTAGCTGTGTGGCCTCAGACAAGGGACTTAACCTCCCTGTGCCTCAGACTCCTCATATGTAAAATGAGGATGAGAATAGCTCCCCACTTCACAGGGTGTGTGAGGATAAAATGAGCAAGTACATGGAATCCAGTTAGAACTGTGACTGACACACTGTAGGTGCTTTATTCCGGTTGGTGATATTATTATTACCACTAATGTTCTTTTCTCTGCTAGTGGTTGAAGGTTTGGGGATTTCTTACAAAATGAAAGAAAACCAGAAGAATCTGGACGAAAAGCAAATAGGTGTTCAAAAGTTGATGGCTGCATTTTCACAAAAATATCAAGACCAGAGCAATGTGAGCTTTGCAAAAATCGATCCTAGAGGGAACATAGATCTTATAGAAATAACAGCTCCAGGGAAGAGTGGATAATAACTAGATGTTTCAATTAGTATAGATTGGCACACATTAACTATTTAAATAAATCCTAAACTGATTGATAAATCAAATCAGACTTGTAAAATTTATCCAAAAAAGGAAATGGCCAAAACCAGTTTGGCTCAGTGGTAGAGCGTCGGTCTATGGACTAAAAGGTCCCAGGTTCGATTCCGGTCAAGGGCATGTACATTGGTTGCGGGCACATCCCTGGCAGGGAGTGTGCAGGAGGCAGCTGGTCGATGTTTCTCTCTCATCGACATTTCTAGCTCTCTATCCCTCTCCTTCCTCTCTGTGGAAAATCAATAAAAAAATATATTTAAAAAACAAACAAACAAACAAACAAAACAAACAAAAAAGAAATGATAGTTAGGAAGGTAAAGTTGCAGACACCCATGAAGATGGTCATACTTAAGTTTGACTGTGATCAAGGGTTTAACTAGTGTAAAAGAGGGTTACCTTCCCGGCTGGTGTGGCTCAGCCATTGAGCATTGTCCCATGCACCAAGAGGTCACGGGTTCAATTCCTGGTCAGGGCACATGTCCAGGTTGCAGGCTCAATCCCCGGAGGGGCCGTGCAGGAGGCAGCTGACCAACCGATGTTTCTCTCTCATCAATGTTTCTATCTCTCTATCCCTCTCCCTTTCTCTCTCTCTAAACAATAAAGGGGAAAAAATTTTAAAAAGAGGGTGTTCACCCTGGCCGGTTTGCCTTAGTGGATAGAGTGTCAGCTTGTGGATGAGGGGCCCCAGGTTAATTCCAGTCAAGGGCACCTGCCCAGGATGCAGGCTTGATCCCCAGTAGGGGGCGTGCAAGAGGCAGCCAATCAATGATTCTCAACATTGATGTTTCTATCTCTCCCTCTTCCTTCCTCTGAAATCAATAAATATATATATATTTAAAAAACAGGTTGTTCTTGGAGAAAGGATAATTCTGGCTGTCATTTATAAATTGCTTGTACCATCACTGTCCTAAGTAGCTAACATAAGTTAAGCCACTTAATTTTCATGCAAGGACTAAGAATTATCTCCATTATATGGGTGAGTTAACAGAAGCTCAGAGAGGAAAATGATTTCCTGACAAGTAATGAGTGTAGCTTCTTATTTACATATTTATTATAACAGTTCCCAGTTTTGTTTGTTTTTGTTGTTGTTGTTTTAAATATATTTTTATTGATTTTACACAAAGAGGAATTAAGAGGGACAGAGACTTAGAAACGTCGATGAGAGAGAAACATCCACCAGCTGCCTCTTGCACACCCCCATTGGGGATGTGCCCGCAACCAAGGTACTTGCCCTTGACCGGAATGGAACCCAGGACCTTTCAGTCTGCAGGCTGACACTCTATCCACTGAGCCAAACCGGTCCTGGCAACTCCCAGTTTTGTTTAAGAAAAAAAATGGAGTCCACCATCAGGAACCAAATAAATTAACAAACAAAAAACTCAGCATAAAAATATACTGGATTCAAAATTAGATTAAAAAAAAAAAATCCTGATGCATGAGGTCCTCTCCCAGAAGGGGTTGAAGCATAAAAATGATCATAAGATAAAATGACAATCTCAAAAGAGCCAGTGGGAGAGAAAAAACAGAGTCATCTTGATCAGCAGAGAAAATGGACATTTGGTAAAAACATCAGGGTAAAACCCCCAACTCACTGCATGCAAAAACAATGAGTAAACACTGATCCCCACCTCACACCATACACACAATTAGAGCCAAAGCATAAACAAGATCGTGAAACAAAAACAACAAAGATGCTGGCAGAAAAATGTATGAGTATTTCTCCATGACTTTGGGATACAAGCTGATTTTATTAAAAGAATACAAAAAGTGCTAACCATTAAAAAAAAAAAGAAAAGAAAAAAAAAGATAGGGTCGAAACAGCCAAAAGGATTTAAAGGAGAAAACACGAACAAAACAAAAGAATAGAAAAGGAAAAGAAAGAAGAAGAAAAGGCAAACTGAAATATCCAGGTCAGAATAGCCACAGGGTCAAAGGTCGACCTAGAAACACTGGCGGGGGCTAGTGTCTATGGGACTGAAATCTATGGGATTGGAACATGCTTTGGCTGCGGGGTCAAAACAGGCGGCCAAGTGGCTGCGAGGTGTGCTGGAGGGGGCTCGGCCGTGCTCACCTGGAAGACCTCTGCGCTGGTCTTTTCGTGGCGGCGTCCTAGCTCCTCCAGCTGCCCCTCCAGCCGGGCCACGTCGGCCTGAAGGGCACCCACTATGCGCTCGTGCTCCAAGCGGGCCACACTGCCCACACGCTCCCGCTCTAGCTCTGCCCGCAGCCGGGCAGCCTCCTTGCCCGTGGCCACCACCTCCTGCTCCAGGCTGGCCGCCCGGCCCCGCAGCTCGAGGGCCTCCTCCTGCAGCCGGTGATGCTCCGAGGCTGGCACCGCCGACTGGCGGAGCGCCTCGGAGGCCTCGTGCAGCTCTGCCAGGCCCCGCCGAGCCTCCTCGCAGGCCTCGGCCAGCTCAGCGGCCCGGGCCTCTGCTGCTTCCCGAGCCTGGCTCAGCTCCGCGGCGGCCGTCCGCTGCTTTTCCTCCGCGGCCGTGGAAGTGGCCAGCTGCTCCCGTAGCACCTCCAGCTCCCGCATTTGCTCCAGCCTCACCTCCTCCCGCTGGGCCAGCTCTGCCCGCAGGCCCCGAGCCTCCTCCTCGGCCAGCAGCCTGGCCGCTCGGGCCTCATCCAGCCAGGCCAAGGTGGCCTCCAGCTCCCGGAGGCGGGAGTCCCGGTCTCGGAGGTCCTCCCGGGCCTGCTCCAGGGCCGCCCGCAGTTGGACCATGTCACCACCACCAGCCTCACACACCCGCTCCGGCAGCCGGTCAGCCTCGCCCTCTGTGGCCTCCAACTTGCCACGGGCTGCCTCCAGCTCGGTGGCTGCCTCCCGCTCCCGCTGCCAGAGTGCCTCCTCCAAGCCTCGAATCCTAGTCTCCAATTCGTTTTGCAGCTTTTCCGAGGCCTCGGCAGCACCAGGGTGTAGCACGGGGCCAGAGGAGACACTAGGGGGGGTGGCCTCCACTCCCGTGGCCTCCGCATTTGTGGTCTCTGTGCCTCTGAGCTCTCCCTCCACTTCACTCCCTCCACTGGCCTTCATTCCTGGTTCCTCTACTCTCAGAGTTGTGGCCTCTGCTCCCGCGGCCTGCGTTTCCCGGTCTCCTCCTCCTCCTGGAGCTTTCGTTTCTGTGACCTCGGTCCCTGTGGCCTTTGTTTCCAAAGCCTCGGCTCCCGCACCCTCTGTTTCCACGGCCTGACTGTCCCTGGCTTTAGTTTCCATGACCTCGGTCCCTGTGGATGCTGCTTCCGAAGTCCTGGCTTCCGAGGTTCCGACTTCTGCAGCCCCATCATCTGTGGTCTCCGCTCCATTAACTTTTGTTTCGGGAGCCACGGTGCCATCAGTCTCCATTTCTGTTGGACCATTCTGGGTGGTCTTGGCTCCTGTGTCCTTGCGTTCCCCAGGGGCTGCCTTCTCTTCTCTGGGGCTCCCCTGTACGTCCTGCTGCTCCAGCACCCGCACGGCCTCGGCATGCTGCCTGCGCAGCTGGTCAAACTCAGCCCGGAGAGAGTCATAGAGGGCCAGGGGGACGACCTCGGCGGACCCGTGTGCCTCCATTTCATCCTTCTCAAAGTTCTCCAGGACCTGGAGGTGGGAGTGGGGGTGAGAGGGGGCCAGTGGCAGCTGAAGCGGCCGTGGGGGCACAAGGCAGTCTTGCCACCTTCCCTGCCCCTGGGCTCAGCCACGTGCCCACCCCAAGCCCCGCAGGTCTGTCCCAGCCACAGCCACTCTACCAGGCCTTGGTTTCCCCACCTGGACCTTCTCCATCAGCTCCTGGTTCTGTCTGGTGAGGGTGGCCACCTGTTCCTGCAGCGAGGCCAACAGCTCCTGGGCTGACGGGCTCAGCTGCTTGGAGAGCAATGTCTCGGCCCCTGGCAGCGTCACAGAGTCAGACCCTGGGGTCCCGAACCACAGGGGATGGAAGCTGGGGTCTAGAGCAGGGCTTTGGGGCCCCCCGGGGCATGTGAAATAAATAACAACCGAGGGCCAACCTTCCCTTCAGCTTCAAACTCTCTCCAAGCCTGTGGGCAGAAGCTCCGCCTCCTGGGACCCAGGGACCAGGTGGGGGGGTGCATGGGGGAAGGACAAGGGGGGCTCACCTGGGAAGTCGGGCAGCTCACCCTCCTCATCCTGCAGGGTGGCCACGTCATAGCTGGTGTTCTCCCGCTCATTCTGAAAGGGGGCCCAGTGTCTGTCTTGGGGTCCTTCCCTCCCACCCCAAGGAACCCCCGGGAATCTGGAGTGGACAGAAATGTTCATGGGTTTGTTTGACCATACAAGCATCATAATGTTGTGTTTGGCCCACAAGTATAGAGTGCCTACTGCGTGCCCAGGACTCTGCTGGCCTCCCAGAACATTAGTCAATGGCCCGATCGCTGACCAAGTGTGTGACCATAACCCCAATGACTGGGGTTGTATGTGCAGCCTGGACACCCGGGACTGGGAGGGGGGCAGCGAGTCCATCCTGTAAGGGTGTGAGGTTGTGGGTCTGCAGTGAGCATGTGCGTGTGTGTGTGTGCGCGCGCGCACGCGCGCGCGTTTAACCTCTAGGCAGTGGCCCTTGCCTCTCCTGTGTGAGTTCCTGTGATAGACTGATTCTGCACTTGTGTTTTAGTCTGTTGTGCGTGTGTGCTTGCATTTGAATATGTATATGAATATGTTTGTATAATTAAGTATTTTGAGAAATGTGTGTTTATATGTATTTGGGGTGGTGTCATCTGCATATGTGATTAAATGAGAGGGTTTGCTGTATGCACATATTTGTGATGTGTGCATGATTGTGCCTTCATGGATTTGTTTGTTGTCTGTTTGCCTATTATATGTGTAAGATCACATGTATAGGAGCATGGCTGTCCATCTCTGTGTGTGCGTGATTGTGTGTTTTGGGAAGTGTCCTTTATGTGTATGAGATTGTGTTTGTATGTTTGTTGTGTGTGTTTCATGTGTGTGAGACTGTAATTGGTGTGGTTGCTATGCAACTGATGAAGAGAGGCCCCGCCCACCTCCAGCAGGGACAGCCGGCTCTGCAAACTCTCCACCTCCCGTCCCAGACTCTCCTTCTCCTCCTGCTTCTCTGCCAACAGCTGCTGAAGCTCTTGCACCTGGAGGAACGTGGTGGCGGCTCAGCCGGTCTCCAGGAGGAAACACTGGGCAGCTGGTGGCTGGCTCTCCCCGACCTTCCCCCTACCTGTCTCTCCAGGCTGTGCAGGGAGCTGGCCTCCGCCTCGGGCAGCTTAGGGAGGAAGTGAGGACAGGACTTGGATCCGGGCGGGGGCATCCCCGGCCCACCGTCTGCTTAGTAGCCCTCCGTCCCAACCACAGACAGCTGCTGTGCACCTACCGCACGCCCAGCACTGTTCTACCCGCTCACTCACTACTAAGTACTTCCTGAGTGCCTCCTTGTGCCAGACCCCGTTTTTGGCCACTAATTCATTCACTCACTCACCCATTCAGTATCTGTCCATCCTATAAATATTTACCAAGCATCTACTGTGAGCCAGGCACCATTAACTATGCCTTCCTTCGTGAGCTTACCAGCGAATAGGTAAACATGAATCAAATATATAGTAAGTCCAATAACAGTAAGTGCTTTATATAAAAATAAAGGGAGCCGAAACTGGTTTGGCTCAGTGGATAGAGCTTCAGCCTGTGGACTGAAGGGTCCCAAGTTCAATTCTGGTCAAGAGCATGTACCTTGGTTGCAGGCACATCCCCAGTAGGAGGTGTGTAGGAGGCAGCTGATTGATGTTTCTCTCTCATTGGTGTTTCTAGCTCTCTATCCCTCTCCCTTCCTCTCTGTAAAAAAATCAATAAAATATATTAAAAAAATAAAGGGAACTGGGCCCTGGCTGGTGTGGCTCAGGTTGTTGGGTACTGTCTTGAACATCAAAAAGTTTCAGGTTCGATTCCAGATCAGAGCACCTGCCAGGATTTGGGGCTCCTTCCCTAGTAGGGGGAGTGCAGGAGGCAGCTGATTGATCTTTCTCCCTCTCCTCTCCTTTCCTCTTTAAAAAAATACATTTTTTTAAAATAAAGGGACCTGAGAAGTGACAGAAGAGTGTTACAATTTTAAATAAGGTGGGCAGAGAAAGTATCTTTGACAAAGGATCTTTGAGCAAAGACCTGAGAGAGGTAAAGGAGGGAGGCTGAGAGATCTGAGAGGAGTGTTGTAAGCAAAGGGCACAGCACGTGCAAAGGCCCTGAGGCAGGACTGTGCCTGGTGTGCTAGAGGAGCAGGGAGGAGGTCCAGGAGCTAGAGCAGAGTGCTGGAGGGGAAGAGAGGGAGGAGTGAGGGTGGGGAGGTAGGAGCATTCTTCCCCTCAGAATTGCACCCGCCCCGGGCTCAGCCCAGGCTGTGCTCCCCCTGCTCCTCACCTCCTGCTTCCTCCGCTCCTTGTGCTGCTCCAAGCCCCGGATCTTCTGAAGCAGGCGGCCCTTCTCCTGTCGCAGCCGCACAATCTCCTCATAGGCATCTCGATCATCCTGTCCCCCGACCCCAGGACCCCTCACTTTTACTTGAGGCTCCAGGGCTGCCCCGTCCCACACTGGAGCAGGAGCGTCCTCCCCCCATTCCCACCTGAGGGCCCCCATTCTTCTCCGTGGCCTGGGCATCTCGTACCGGCACAGGGGTGCTGGAGGGAGGCGGAGGTGCCTTCCGCTTCTTGCGAGCCCCTCGCTTCTCATGGCTGGACACTGAGTTCTGGTGGGAGATCGGGGGGGGGGGGGGGGAGAGGGGAGGCCCGGACACATGGGAGACCTTTAGCTTCCCACCAGGTAAGTCAACCCACCGGAACTCTGCCCTCACTTCCTGCGTGACCCTGCCTGTCTGGTCCTCACCTATCCCAGCATCAAAGAGGATGAGACCATGTTCTCAGCGACTTCCGCTTTACCTTCTGCTTCTCTCCGTGCCTCAGCACTCTGCCCACTGAGACCAAACTGTCTCCAAGCAGCCCTTCCCTGTGGAGCTGAGGCGCTGCAGCCGGGAGAGGGAAAGGGCAGACCTGCCTCCTTCCCTGACATCAGCCCTCAGCAGTCTCGCTTCCCCCACTCCTCGCCCCAGCCCCGTGACCTCATCTCCACAATGTCTCAGCCAGTTCTGGGAGCGATGCTGTGGGTGACGCTGTCACGTGGTGGCAAGGTACCTGGCAGGTCCTTCTGAGTCAGAACCCTGTGGCAGGGCCCACCGCTTCCTTCCCTTCCCACAGAGCTTAGGGTGAGGGAAGGCAGTGAGCTCAGGGGGAGGGGGGGACTCAGTCACTGCTTAGAGACCATACCTGAGAGGATGCCTCGCCCGAGTCTTCCTCTAGGAGGGCGGGGAGAAAGAAAAGCAGGGTCAGGCTGGGGCGTCCGGGTCTCCCCTCCCCACCCTAGGAAGGGCATTGGTGAACCCAGGGCAGTTATGCGGAGGAACGGGGAGCTGATTGCCCAAGAACCAGAACTTTTAAGTTGGGAACCAACCATGTTGGCAGAATGCCGAGGGGCCTTGAACCTCTCAAAAAGAGAGGGCAGTGGCCTCTCCAGGATGGAGCAAGTGGGACACCAATTCTTAGAAAAGGCGAAGACCCAAGATTAAAGATGACCCAGCAAAGTAGAGTGGACCCTTAGAGTCTTCTAAAAGCGCTGGTGCTCCTTGGAACTGTCCTGATTGGGACCAGGGAAGCCAAGAAACCCCCTATAACGCAGCCCACAGGGATACCTTGAAACTATCCGCAGAAGGGAGAGAGGGGTAGCAAGAAACTGCCGAGAAGGGGGTGCCCGAAATTGCTTAGAGGCAAGGCTTGCATACCGCTGGGTGGTGAGGGCCGCTGGGCCGCCTCCTGCAGGAGGTGCAGGATAAGTTTGTCCCCTGCCAGGGTGCCGTAGTGAGCAGCATCCTGGCCCAGTGCGTCCGTGATGCCTGGCTGGGCCCCTCCCTGCAGCAGCACCTCCACTGTTTCAGGGTTAGCCCCCTCACAGGCCAGCATGAGGGCTGTCCTACCAGGAG